TGCTCCTAATGCACTATGCCCGGAAAAAATTGGTATTAGCGGTAAAATACCGCACACTTTTGAAGGTACAGGAAGAATTCGAGGTGATGAAATTTTACATTTACTACCAACATTTTTAACTACATTTTGTGCACCAATCATTGCTGTTTTAATAGTGTCCGTTGCGTTATGATTATTTTTCATATTATTTTTAGCAGCATGAATAATCTTCCCTAATGCCATGTGTTTATTTTTCTTGGAAATTGTATTCTTCTTCTTCTTCTTCTTCTTCACAATCTTTTTCTTAATATTATTATTAATTTTTAAACCTATCCCAAATTTAGATTTAGCTTTCATTATATTAGTTACAGCTAATCCAGCTGCTTTTTCACTAATTTTAGCGTCCATGGAAATGACTCGTTCCCACGCCTTTTCAGCTAGTATTTTGTATGCAGTATTTCTTGCAGCCACGTCTTTATCTTTTGAATAGGCTATATCATGCTCCTTACAAGCCGTATCCAAGGGATTTATACCAGGATCCCCTCGTGCAAGACGTTTTGCCAACTTTGTTCCAGGTCCACAATATTGATAACCAGGAATGTGACACTCGAATGGTAATTTGTTAATTAAAGTATTGAGAAATCCTTGACCACTGCAAGAATTTTTCTTCACTTTTTCGTGAGTAATCATTCCTCACTCGACAATGGTCTGTAACCAACTGATTGAGGGCGACTATATAAGTGGGATATTTCTAGTTTTTTCATTAGTCAATTCTAAGATGCAGTTCAAGGTACAAGCTGTACAACTCCCGATTGCCAATGTGGATAACCTCATTGAAAGTAAAGATAATGGAGTTAAACGACATGGAAGTTTATTTTCAAATAGTATTCAAGCAGCTTTTTGTGGACCATCAATTTGTGGAAAAACGAATGCACTTCTTTCTCTGATTATACATCCGAATGGTTTAGGATTTGAAAATATATATTTATATTCAAAATCATTACAGCAGCCGAAATATTAATTTTTGGAACAAGTACTTAGTAAAGTAGATGGCATCGAGTTCTTCCCATTCAGTGAACATGAACAAGTTGTTACGCCTAAAGATGCAAAAACTAATTCAATTTTCATTTTTGATGATATCGCTTGTGAGAAGCAGGACAATGTTAAGGCGTTTTTTTGTATGGGGCGACATGTTAACGTCGATAGTTTTTATCTTTGTCAAACATATGCTCATATTTCAAAACATCTTGTTAGAGATAATATTAATTTGCTTGTGCTATTCAGACAAGATGAAAGGAATCTCAAGCATGTTTACAATGATCATGTTAATACAGATATGACGTTTACACAGTTTCGAGATTTATGTTCAGTATGTTGGAACTCTGACAGATATAGATTTGTAGTTATTGATAAAGATAGAAATATAAATGATGGAAAGGAATCTCAAGCATGTTTACAATGATCATGTTAATACAGATATGACGTTTACACAGTTTCGAGATTTATGTTCAGTATGTTGGAACTCTGACAGATATAGATTTGTAGTTATTGATAAAGATAGAAATATAAATGATGGAAGATATAGGAAGGGATTTGATTGCTTTATTCAGTTATAAATATTAAGCATTTCAAGAGAATTGCATTAGTTCAGTTTGAGACTTTCATAAATAAATATGTTTCGAAAGGAGCGAGAGACACTACATCAAATAGCTGCAGCAAGTGATGCTATACGTCGAAAGCATCGTATTCTTAAAAGTGGCAGAGAGTCAGCTGAAAATATGTTGAAAGAAACCTTTCAACCATTAGTTACTCCATTGGAAAAATTAGTGAATATAACTGAAAATCCTATAAAGATTGAAAATTTTCAAAACCATGTAAAGAAAGAAGAAGAAGAAGACTTTGAATCATCTTTTAAGACTGCCATTATTAAAGATACACCTTTCAACAAATCTATTTATAATGATGATGTAACGTTTTATGATCCTATTTATGAAGAAGAAGACATGCAAAATTTATCAAAAGAAAATATAATTGATAGATTTCCCAATCAAGAGAATCATAATATTATTGTTAATGAGCAAAATAATATACTTAATGATGCCTTTCATGAGCAAGACATGTATAATATTAAAGACGCAAGTAATGTGATTGATACTATGGCAGAAGAAGAAGATTCTGATAAATTAACAAAGAAATTTATATAAATGTTGGAGAAAAATAGGAAACAATATAAAGATATGGTTTATGGAGTACGTAAACTTCCCGACGGTACATATATGATTGGTGATACGCAAATTAATTTTAAAGGTTCTTACATTAACCTAGTTGAGAAGAAAAAATATTCTAAAACGGATGGATTATTGGAACTCATATTCCGTCAAAAACCTGATCAGAAGTTAACAAATGCTAATGATTTCGTAAACTATAAAGAAATCCTGCGTAGTACGAATGCATATAGAAAGAACTATAGCCCAAATAAACCTATTCGTAGTAATAAGACTTTCAAATATACTAATGTTATTGCAAAACTTTTGCTCATATGTGGAGATTCTTATTTGAAGAGAAAAACTCAATTACCGCAATTTATGACGGTGAAGAAAGAATCATATCCAGACTATGTCTATTGGGATGATCCAAACGAGATTGTTGATCGTCTACGCAATTTAAGTCATAACAATGAAATTATGTCAATAATTGAGGCACCCAATCGAACAACCGGTCGCGAGCTCGGGCCGGACGCTCGGAAGCCAGTCAGCGTACGAAAATGTCAATAAAATGGAAATTCAAAATTTTAATTTTTTAAATATATTACCTTATAAAAAATTAAAAGCCACATCTTTTTTTCCTTTAACTTTTTTTTGCATCTTTTTTTCTTAATAAGAAATTTTCCATCTTTTTCCGTTTTCGAAATATAAGAGAAAAACTGTTTTTTAAAAAAAGAAAATTTTCATTGTTTTTTTGACTTCAACTCGCGACAGCTTAGACAATTTTACGAATTTCTTAATGAAACAAAAACGAAAATACGTGTTATTATATTCTACGAGTGACTAAAAAAGAAAAAAGTTGTTTTGATTAAAAATAAAAAAGTTATTATTTTTTTAATGAGACATTGCAAAATTCATGAACTGCAATTTTCACCCTGTGAGGAATTTTTGGAAATTTTCACCAGCAACAAACTTCCAGTGAGAAAGTTGTTCATTAAGGTTTAAAGAAGTTTTCTGGAAAGTTACAATGCAATTGAACAATTAATAACAAAATGGTGAACGTTTAAACTTTAAAGTTGCGCGAGCGGCTGAACGTTTGGCGTGCGTTTCCTACGTAATAACTTAATTTCTTATTAAGAAAAAAAGATGCAAAAAAAAGTTAAAGGAAAAAAAGATGCGGCTTTTAATTTTTTATAAGGTGATATATTTAAAAATTAAAAATTTTGAATTTCAATTTTATTGACATTTTCGTACGCTGACTGGCTTCCGAGCGTCCGGCCCGAGCTCGCGACCGGTTGTTTGATTGGGTGCCTCAATTAAAGAATTACGGGAAGCTCAAATTATATATTAAGAGTGAACTTGTAAAATCAAGATCATTATTATATTGAATATAGTTCTATTCAGATCATTTTATTATAAATCCTTGAACATGGATGATAAAAAGTTAACAGTTGTGACAGAGTTACATAGGCAAGCTAGAAGAAATTATCGACGTCGAAAAGTAGAAATGCGTGGAATTGATGAAACTTGGCAAGCAGATTTAGTTGAAATGATACCTTATTCAAAAGTTAATAAAGGTTTTAAATATATGCTTACAGTTATAGATATATTTTCTAAGTATGCATGGGCTATTCCTGTAAAAAGTAAAAGTGGAAAAGATGTTTCTAAAGCTATGGAATCTATACTTGTAAATGGACGTGTTCCTAAAAACTTGCATACTGATAAAGGGAAAGAATTTTATAATTCTGTATTTGATAGTTTAATGAAATCATATAAAATTAAACTGTATTCAACTTATAGTAATTTAAAAGCTTCAATTATTAAAAGATTTAACCGCACATTAAAAAATATGATGTGGCCACAGTTCAACTTACGAGGATATTACAAATCGGAAGATATTTTACCATCTCTTGTTAAAAAGTATAATAATAATAAACATCGTACTATTGGAATGAAACTTAAGGATGTCAGCAGAGAAGATGAAAAGAGACTGTTGAAACGCATATCCAAACAAAGGAAAATTTTACCTAAGAAAGCAAAATTCAAAGTTGGTCATAAAGTGCGAGTTAGCAAGTATAAGAATGTTTCCGAAAAAGGATACACACCCATACTGGACAACGGAAATATTCACCAACATTCAAGTTAAATCAACGAAGCCAGTAACATACAAGCTAAAGGATTATCAAGATCAACCCATTGAAGGTGGTTTCTATGAAGAAGAAATTTCCAAAGTCAAATATACAGATGTTTATCTTGTAGAAAAAGTTCTTAAAAATCGTCAAAATAAAGTCTATGTAAAATGGCTTGGATTTGATATTTCTCACAATAGTTGGATAAATAATTCAGAAATGTAAAATTTAAAAAGTTAAAGTTAACTATTTGAAAAGTTAAAGTTAACTTTAAGAAAAGTTAAAGTTAACTTTTAGAAAAGTTAAAGTTATTTTTTAGAAAAGTTATATGTAAAAAGCATGTAAATATTTGATTATTTTTATTAATAATTTAATTGCACTTCTCCTTTCATTACAACTCTTTTTTCATATGTACAATAAATATAAATAAATAAGGAATATAAACAATAAATATAAATAAATAAGAAATATACAATAAATATTATAACGAAATTATTAAATTAATTAATATTATTAATTAATAACCCCTTTTAATTGTTACAAAAGAAACCCAACATGATAATTGTCAGACGCCAGCCAATTTTTAGATGGAATTGGCAAACCAGAGAAAACACCAAAATAACCCCAAATCTCAAATCAATCAAATGAAATCTCAGAGGAGATTCTGTTGAAAAGGAAAGTCGCAAAAAGGGACACGACCCTTGAGACACGACACAACCAAAATTGGACTTACCCACGACGATCAAATATCAGCACCAGCTTCCTCTCGGCAGGTCCTCGTGGTCGATGAGACTCGCCGGTGTCGAGAAAAAGGGCTGATAAATAAAACACTAATTAACACTTCTTTTCTATTTTATTTGAGTCGAACTCAGCTTCGACTCCCTCTCAACACACTACAATTTTTCTCTGAAAACACACAATAGTACTCGAAAACTCAAACGTGGACACACTACAGTACCCCTGTACTCGCTATCGCGTCCATTGACAAAATCTATTGATCCTTCGCTCGATCCACCTTCGTCTCCGTTTTGTTCCGTCGGTGGCCGCCGTGATGGCGCCACGTCCCGGACGCCTGCTCTGCTTGTCCATCAAACCCCATTACGCGCGAAACTCATCCCCAGTCAAATTCACCTTGTGATGAATTTACTTCGTCACAAACACCCCTCCCCTAGGCCGTTACTACTCCCAGCAGTAACGCCTATCCACAACACCAAAACCCACGTCGAAAATTAAGCCAGCATAGTCACTGGTCAGGGGAAACCTTCTATTTGAAGGCATGTCGCCTTTCCTCCAACAACTGCTTCACCGCCAAGTTGATGGTTTCTGGTGGTAATCCGGCCATGACCCTTGTCAAATCTGCAATCGCCTGCGATAATTCTACGACCGGAACTTCCACTGGCGCCACTTCTGCAGAAGGTAGTGGAGCATCCGGAATCGACTCCACTTCAGGACCCTTGTCAACAATTGGTGGTCGAGAAGAGGTTCTGTCGAATAAAAGTGGAACCTTAGCAACTTCCCTCGACTTTTCTTTCCGGGCGTCCACCCCCTTTGTCGTACTTGCGCGTCCACACACCCCAGTCGATAGATTTTGGTTCTTCTCCCGAATGAACCTTTCATGGGCCTCGGCACACCTTGGGCATGTCGCCAAGGTCACATACTTCCTGCCGCAATTGAAACAACAGGACTCGGTGACTTTCTTTGAGCATTGCTGGCGACGATGGCCCCTCAGCCAACAATTTTGACACACCCGGGGGGGTGGGTCAATCGTTGGATCCGTTGGGATGGGTTTCAACCCCTGAAACATCACCCCAGTAGTTTTAGTGGGTAGAGGTCCAAATCTACCACGGTCCATCTCCTTCTCCCTTGGTCGCAAATCTTTCTTTTGGTTTGGAGGGCCAGGCGGTGTGATTGGTCTCGTCGGAATACTAACATCATCCTCGTCACCACGAGAAACGAGATCTTCTTTTCTCAACGTTTTCTTCCTCTTTTCCATCTCTTCTCGCTGGCCCTCCCTCAGCTTCTCCAAACCCACCGTCGTCTGTCGCGGCTTGTCCTGAACAAAACGCTCCAACTCCAGGACAGCCAAACGGTCCTCAAACTGCTCCCAACTCTCCCCTTTGTGTCGATGTGGGTAGTTGTCCACCGTTTCTGTCGACAATGAGGCCTTCGGTTTGGTAAGAGGAACCTCTTTCCTCTCTTCTTCCCTAGTCGGCAAGGAGTGGCGACGAATTGCCCCCAATTCTCCGGTCTCCATCGGGTCTGGATTTGGGAAATCCAGCAATGAGCGCGGCATTGCGACATCCCTTGGGGGTTCGAACACTCTCTCCGGGCGATGGAGTGACGCCGACCTCAATCGCTGACGATTAACTCGTCGTCCCTCCCCATGTCGAGCATCTCTTTGCTGGGACATTTTATCTCTCCTATAAGGCCTCTGTCGCTTATCCCTTCTCCTCCTTCTCTCGCTACCCCTGTCGATACTCCTCCTCCGATCTAAAAAAAAAAACAATCATTAGTAAAATTTAATGAGCTCGTGGGGGAAGATATCGTTTAAGGTCTGAGACATGAATTTTAGGGATACGACGACTTTCGTTGTCACATAAGACAAAAACCGTCGGCGACAATTTCTCCACAATCTCGAAAGGGCCTTCATATTTCGGTGCGAGTTTCGTCGCGAAATTCCGTGTACCACTCGACAATTTGTGTGATTTACGGAGTACTAAATCACCCACATTAAACAACCCCTCTCGTCGATTACGGTTATAGTACTCGGTCTGTCGATCACGTTCTTTGTCGATAAATTTCGCTACTAAGTCTCGCAACGCATCCAACCTCTTCACCCTGTCTACCCAATCTTCTGGCGCAATTCTCCTAACCTGATCTCGTGGTTCTACCTCCCGTCGCAAACTTTTAACCGGTCGAGGATGCCTTCCGTAATTCAAAAATGCGGGAGACGTTTTAGTCGCCACCTGTGTCGCAGTGTTCATAGCGTGGCGAAACTCGTGAACATGAAGATCCCAGTCGCGATGATCATTCCCTATGAAAGTCGCAATCATGGTCTTCAATGTCCGGTTACTCCTCTCCACAGGATTAGCTTGCGGGTGGTAGGGTGGTGTGGTGATGTGTTTGACACCGTATTCCTGAAGCGTTTCCTTGAGGAACTTGTTGTCGAACTCTTTCCCATTGTCTGTTAATAAAAAGTCAGGGGTTTCCCAGCGAAAGAGGACCAATTCTTCAAATGCTTTGGCCACCGACTTTCCATCAGCTGATCGCAACGGTTTCACCTCAACCCACCTCGAGAAAAGATCTTGAAACACGACAAGATATTTACACCTACTCTTGCTTGGTGGAAACTCCATCGTGTCCGCTGCCACTACAGCCCAAGGTCGCTCAACTATCCTCTGTCCCATTAGTCCTGCCGGTCCAGCTTGTGATGCTTTGTGAAGCTGGCACTGGGGACATCGAGTGACATACTGGTGGACATCATTCCAGATTCCTTGCCAGTAATATTCTCTCGCCACTCGATTGTATGTTTTCTCCACCCCCAAATGACCTGTCGACGCCAACCCATGGCCGTCGTGGAGAACTCTCTCTCTGTACTCCTCAGGTACCACCAGTTTCCAACCATCTTCGTCGCCAACAATCGGAAGGAGTAACGGGTCACTCCTATGTCGATAAAGATGATCGTTCTCAATTTTCCATCCAGGAAAACGCTCCGGGAATTGTCGAACCAAATCTCGTCGCTTAAGGTACCATTGATCCATAATGGTATCAAAGGCATCGATCATCTCTTCGTCATCCTCACTCATCCTGGACAATGCATCTGGGACTTGGTTCAATGCACCTCTCCTGTGAATGATTTCAAAATCCCACACCTGCATTTCCAGGGCCCATCTCGCTAGTCGACCACTCGGGTCTTTCAAGTTTCTGAGCCACTTTAGGGCACTGTGATCTGTGATCACCTTAAACTTGTATCCCTCGATGTACGGTCGCAACTTCTTAATCGCCCACAATAACGCTAAACACTCCTTCTCCGTGACGCTATAATTCCGTTCTGCCCCTGTCAGAACACGGCTGATATACATCACCGGATGTTCACCGTCGTCAAACTCCTGAGTCAACACAGCTCCAATAGCAAAATTACTCGCATCACATTGGATGGTGAATGTCTTACTAAAGTCAGGACGGGCCAACACTGGCGCTGTCGTAAGTTTGTCCTTCAACTTGTCGAAAGCCTCTTGTTGCTCCTCGCCCCATTCCCAGTCTCGACTCTTCTTGAGCAATTTAAGAAGAGGTATCTTGATTTCGCTATCGTTTTGGATAAATCTCGAATACCACCCCACCATGCCCAAAAATCTCCGGAGTTGTTTGACGTTCTTTGGCGCTGGATAGTTTCTCACCGGCTCGGTTTTTTCGGGGTCTGGTCGCAATCCTTCATTGTCGAGAAGATACCCCAAATAGGTAACCCTAGAGCACCCAAACTCACATTTCTCTGGGTTAACCACAAATCCCGCGTCTGCCAGCTTCTTCAAAACTATCTCCAGCCATTTCACGTGTTCGTCGAAAGTATCTGTCACAATTATTATATCGTCGAGATAACCAAACACGTGAGGTTCAAATTCCGGTCCGAAAAGAGCATCAATTACTCGTTGAAAAGTCATCGGCGCGTTAGTCAAGCCGAATGGCATTCGTCGATATTGCCACAGTCCTGAGCCGGGGATGGCAAAGGCCGTGTACTTTCTGCTCTCTTCTGCCATTGGAATTTGGTGGTATGCCAATTTCAAATCGATCTTCGACAAGTATCGCGCCTTCCTCAACTTGTCGAGTATGGAGTCTATCGTCGGAATCAAATAGGCGTCCTTGACGGTAACCTTGTTGACATCCCTATAGTCCATACACATTCGAAAATCTCCATTCCCTTTTCTGGCAATCACCGGTGCACTCCTCCAGTCGCTACTTGATGGTTCGATCACGCCTTGCCCATGTAGTTGAATCATGTGTCCTTGAGCCCACGTGATCATAATAGGTGACATGCGTCTCTGTCGATGCTGTACTGGTGTCTCGTCTGTAACCCTTATATGATGTTCTGTCAGATTTGTCACCCCCAGTACGTCAGATTCTGGAAGAACCAATCGGTTCACCATTTCTTGAATGATCTCTCTTTGTTGGTCCGTCAACGCAGAGATTCCAGCGCATTCAGCGTAGATCGACTCATCAATCTCAATCCCATCCTTGACGCCAAAAACATGCCAGTCGCCATTGAAAACTCTCCATAACCCCAGTCCCAATTGTACCTCCATATTCCAGGCTTTACAGAAATCCACACCCAAAATTATGTCTTGTACTACTGAACTAAGGACCTTGACGCTAAACGGTTGAGAATGGCCATCCACCTCGATGTTCAAATTCAACAATCCAGCTGTCTCAGTTACTCCTCCAATGGCGCTTCTTATCGATGTATTGCAAGGCTGGATGCGGCTCTTATAAGGCTCAGCTACTCTGTCGCTAATCACCGAGATCATCGCTCCAGGGTCGAAAAGTGCCTCATAAGATTTGTCGCCAATGGTCATTCGAAAGAAATAACGATTTTCCATACGACTGCCGTCTACATCCTTGTCGAATAAGGGTTCTGGGTCAGCTGTGCCCGTCACAGCCTCTCCCCTCCCCTGGACTATTGGTACTGGCTCCTTTTCAGTATCTTTAGTCCCATCTGACACTAACACGTTTTTGAGTGAATCCTCTCCACTCATTTGGCTTTTTGGTACCCGTGTCACAAATTTAAATGAATTCTCTTCATTTAATTCGTCAGTACCAACTCTCTCATCACTACGTTTGAGTGGCCTCTTTCCACTCTGTTGCCCACTACAGGATGCACCCTCGTTGATGGGGAAAAAATTTAACCCTCTTGGTTTACTCTTATTTTCCCTTGAACCTTCTCCAACCCTGGTCGCTACCCCGTCGTTAAGAATCGGTTTTAATGATTCTTCAGTGGGTTGGAGGGGGGTACAGACCCGCTCTGTGCCCCCCATTGTCCGTTTCCCAAAGCGGCCCTCACTTGGACGCAATTCGGACAATTAAGGAAATTCACGCCAGGTGATCGACAAACAAGGCATGACTCTACCTGGACTCTAGCTGGACACTGTGCCACGAAATGACCACGCTGTTGACAAACAAAGCATGTCCTCATGGGGCATTCCGAAACTTTGTGTCCGACCATTTGACATGTAAAACATGCCCCCACAAATGGCTTCGACCCGCCCGTCGCAATTTGTGTTGTATGTCCGGTATTTCCAACTCCTTGTTTTGGTGGAAATTGGCGCTTGCCTTTCCCAGCGGTCACTGTCGCAAAAGTAGGGTTAGAAGCCCGTATCGGAGTCGCGGATGGCTGAGGACTTGATTGCTTAATTGAATTCACCTCTGTAGTCCCCTTCTCAGAATCAGCCTTCTTTGTCTTCTTTGACTTTTTCCCTTTACTCTTCTTGTCGACCACCTTCTCTACCTCACTACCCGTCGCTGACTCGTCTTCTAAAGCCGCTATCTTCTTGGTCTCTTTAGAGGAAGGTGGCTTTTTCTCATCCTTCTTCGCACCCTTATAAGCCGCGGCGGGAAAACGCATTTTCTCTTTAGGGGGAGGGGGAACGTATCTGTCGTCGAGATCTTGAACCTTTTCGAACTGTCGCAAATTTCTCTCTAATTTTGAGAGTGATTCTAACCCCGATGAATCAACTTGTTTCCGATAAGTGGGGGTAAGTCCCTTATAAGCAATTTTAACCTGTTCCCTGGTCGACAATGGTTTCCTAAGGTGCCCCATTATCAGTCGCAAACTGGTTATGTAAGAGGATATTTTCTCCCCTTTCGCTTGGGTCCTACTCCTCATCTCGTCTACCACTTCGTCGTCATCAATGGTCGTTAAATACTCTCGTCGAAAAGCTTTTTTAAATGACCTCCACGAACTAATTTCATTACGAATTGTACGGAACCATCTACTCGCATTACCCTTAAAAATGCTGGGGAGTGTTTGGAGGAGATCTTCGTCGCTTATCATGGCGCAATCTCGGCAGTCTTCTATTCTCTCCAGGAATTCTTCGGGATCTTCTCGCTCTTCACCCGAGAACTTAATATCCCAATCTTTTAGAGTCCTATTGACTTTATTTAATCGAGAAGCTAAACGATAATCTCTTCGCCTCTGAGTCCTGTCGCTAACGTCAGTCTCGTTATCAGTTGAAGAATTGTCGAAAAGTGTCCTCCTAGCATCAACCCGTGGTGTATTTTGGGGGGTATGCCTTCGGCTGGATTCCCTACGTTCTTGACGACTCCCTCCCCTAGTCGATAATCTGTCGCTAACTTCTGATCTCACACTTCTATTGTCGCTACCTAACTCGCTGGGTTCGCTCTTTACGCCTGAACCCCTTTCTCTCTTTATGTATGTGCGCCTACTGTCACATACTTCCCCACTCCTAATCCTGTTGTCGCCTACTGTCCGGGGGGTTGGGTTAGGGATGGTGTTGGGACTCTCTCCTCCTGATTGGTCCTGATTAACAGAAGTTATTTCATCCCCTTCCCCTGTCGCAAATTGTACTGGATTTTGAGATGCCCGGTAAAAATTACTATTATCCCCCACATTCTGACCCATACTAGCAGCCATTAAATGGTTATTAATACGGATCAGCTGTTGTAGTTCTGGACTCAAGGTAAACTTGGCTACAGACTGTCGCAAGCTAATCACCCCGGGCGACATCGTCGCTGAAACCCTCATTGACGGGGCAGAATTCACGGTGGTCGTTGGCGCAGAGTTCATCGAATGAACGGCTGACATTCGTGGTGGGGAATTCGTGGGGATCGACGCTGTGGACATCACCGGTGGTGATTGTGGAAGGGGCGGTGGAGGGGTTGGAAAGTCATCGGTGGTCGGACTTGGTCTGCTGTGCGATGATTCACTTCCCCCCCTTTTTCTAATGGCTCCTTGAATTTGTCGGTCTCCTAAATATCCCAAGTCACGAATCGACCGTGAATTTTTCTCCTCGTCGCTACTCGGATAAAACTCGCCTCCTCTTTTAAGATTTACGTTAGGCAATAAACTCTCTTCCGTGAATGCCTCAAACTGAAAAACTTTGACTGAGTTCCCCTTATCGTACTCGTCGCAAAAGGGCACGTCAGTTTCTGGGGGAAGCGCGAGTTTTAATTCTGCCCGAAACAGTCGTTCGCGCAGAACTTGTAAAGAGCCACTAATACATAATTGATTAGTCAACAGGCTCGTTACCACTTGTCCTACCGGCATTCCTAAAATCACTTGCCACAATTCCTTCGCCTGTGGAATTGTTAACAAGAGACGCATTCTTTCTTTGTAGAAATGCATTCGTTCAATTGCCTCTGCCATCTTGAACGCTCGAAAAAAAATTTAATTGTCGTAAAACACAAAAAAAATTTTTTTTTTTTTTTTTTTTAAAGGGGGCCTGTTCCCTACTAGATATGGCACTGGTCAATAAATAGAAATTCCACTAAATAATCGAGTCGCCACAAAGAAAATTTTTCTCCCTTAAAAATTTTCACGCAAAATTGTAAATTAATTTTTGAAGGGCCCGTCGCTCCGTTGACACGGCCCTGGTCAATAAATTTTATTCACTTGCTTGACTAGTCGCAAAGGAAAATTTTACTCCCTAAAATTTTTCAGTTATTTTGGAATTCTAGAAATAGGGGTGCCAATTTTATAGGTACGGCCCTGACAATTAAATTCAAGTTAACACAACTTGACTTTTCACAAAAATAAATTGTCGCAAAAATTAACCTGTCGCAAAAATTAAATTAAATAAAATTTATAATTTTTGGGGCCCGCTAACTATTAGTCACGGCACTGGTCACTCGTAAAAATTTACTTTTATAACCGGGTCGTCATTAAGAGAATTTTTCCCATTAAAAATTCTCACGTAAAATGTCAATTAATTTTTGATAGGGCCCGTCGGTCCGTTGACACGGCCCTGGTAAACAAAAAGAAAATTCAACAATTACTTGACTTGTCGTTAAGGAAATTTTACCCACTAAAATTTCCAATTATAATTAAAGAAAAATTTTTTTAAGATGACCGTCGCGATAATAATACGGTCCTGGATTAATTTTTGTTTATTTAACAATTCTCTTTTTTAAAAGTCACACTAATCGACACTCAAATTTATTCCACACGTTTCATTTAAAATTTTCAATTTCTCCACTCATTGAAAATTTTACAAGTCGCAAGATTCCCTACTGCGCAAGTCACAAGTGTTTGAAATTTCTATCTTCTTCCAAGTCGAGAAGCATGGCTCAAATTCAAACACCGAGATATCACTTAATACGCATGCGCGACGAATCACATGGTATGGTATAATTAATACGCCGGCCACGTGGAAAGCAATTATTATTAATAAATAATTTTTTCAAAATTTAATCACGCACAAAATTCCAGAAAAATTCACTGATTCCGAGAAAAATCGATTCGTCAAAATCGGTCGAGAAATGTCTCTGAAATTAATTATTGAAAATTTCTACACGTGACTATGGCGGACGCTATGCATATTAAATTTACCTGGGAACACTCGCGAAATTGTCTCACTTTATTTGCCCGAACACAACTCCTCAACCATGTCGCAAATTATAAATTTCAGGGCAGGAACAATAAATTCATTACATGAAAAAATTACAATAAGCAACAAAATATTTTCTGTCGAAAATATTAAGTCGAGAATGGCACAAAAATCAAGTCACAAAAAAATTTGTCGTGTCTCAAAGTTTCTCAACGAGGCCCCACGTTGGGCGCCAATTTTTATAACGAAATTATTAAATTAATTAATATTATTAATTAATAACCCCTTTTAATTGTTACAAAAGAAACCCAACATGATAATTGTCAGACGCCAGCCAATTTTTAGATGGAATTGGCAAACCAGAGAAAACACCAAAATAACCCCAAATCTCAAATCAATCAAATGAAATCTCAGAGGAGATTCTGTTGAAAACGAAAGTCGCAAAAAGGGACACGACCCTTGAGACACGACACAACCAAAATTGGACTTACCCACGACGATCAAATATCAGCACCAGCTTCCTCTCGGCAGGTCCTCGTGGTCGATGAGACTCGCCGGTGTCGAGAAAAAGGGCTGATAAATAAAACACTAATTAACACTTCTTTTCTATTTTATTTGAGTCGAACTCAGCTTCGACTCCCTCTCAACACACTACAAATTTTCTCTGAAAACACACAATAGTCCTCGAAAACTCAAACGTGGACACACTACAGTACCCCTGTACTCGCTATCGCGTCCATTGACAAAATCTATTGATCCTTCGCTCGATCCACCTTCGTCTCCGTTTTGTTCCGTCGGTGGCCGCCGTGATGGCGCCACGTCCCGGACGCCTGCTCTGCTTGTCCATCAAACCCCATTACGCGCGAAACTCATCCCCAGTCAAATTCACCTTGTGATGAATTTACTTCGTCACAATATAAATAAATAAGAAGTACAGTACCGTCCAGAAGTATCAGGACGATTACACGCGACTCTCTGAAAAAACATGCTATCACTTTTTCAATCATATTTCTGCAACAAAAGGAGATACAAAAAAAACTCAAAAATGGTTAGAAAGCTTATTAAATTTTGAATAAAATAAGCCATGTTTGAAGCTATTCCGTTAATAATTTTCTGAGTTGTAGAGTGAGAAAGATGGAAAAAATATTATCAAATTTTCTGATTTTGGTCTCTTGACTTCAACATTTTCAAAAATCTAGAAAAATTTAGATAAAAATTTTTTAAAAACACAGAAATCTTCGCTAGAATTTCAGCTTTAAAATAAATTTTAGAAAATTAAAAAATATTAATCCGTCATCGAATTAAGATTAAAAATGTGAAGCCGTGTTGCGCCTGATCGATGCTTTGAAAATCAACTGTGACTACTCGATTCCGGCTTCGCGCGGGAGCAAGCGGGAGACATACTGTAAGTACATAAATATCTAATAATAAATAATGACGTTTCACGACGAATATGTAAAGAAACTCGAAATTTCATCGTTCCCGCATAAATCCGACCCTGCTTTCTCTCCCGCTTGCTCCCGCGCGAAGCCGGAATCGAGTCGTCACAGTTGATTTTCAAAGCATCGATTGGGCGCAACACGGCTTCACATTTTTAATGATAATTCGATAACGGATTAATATTTTTTAATTTTCTAAAATTTATTTTAAAGCTGAAATTCTAGCGAAGATTTCTGTGTTTTTAAAAAATTTTTATCTAAATTTTTCTAGATTTTTGAAAATGTTGAAGTCAAGAGACCAAAATCAGAAAATTTGATAATATTTTTTCCATCTTTCTCACTCTACAACTCAGAAAATTATTAACGGAATGGCTTCAAACATGGCTTATTTTATTCAAAATTTAATAAGCTTTCTAACCGTTTTTGAGTTTTTTTTGTATCTCCTTTTGTTGCAGAAATATGATTGAAAAAGTGATGGCATTTTTTTTCAGAGAGTCGCGTGTAATCGTCCTGATACTTCTGGACGGTACTGTATATATCAGACTTGTAACATTTCCACATGATCATCAATATCAACATTTGTAATATTACAATGTCCCCAAAAGAGAGTGTTTGTACTATTTTTTAATAAATATCTTTTATCGTCAAATGGACTTAAAGCTGTTTTAGTTTGTTTTAATGTGTGTACATTGTGTAGTTTTGATCTTATGGAATACTGTGTTCTAGATTGAATTTGTATGTTTTTAAGGCAGAAAATGTAATCATCGAAAGTAATAGTTTTTTTACAACTGCCGTCTTAATACCTTTAACTTTTTTTTATAAAATCTTGACCTTCAACGCGAAGACTGTACATTTTACTCCGCAATCCAACAAAATCTGTTACAATTTTTCCACTAAACTCATCTTTCATGAGACATAAGACTTTTTTGTTAGCTTGCGGAATGACATATACATTATTAGCTGGGTAATCAAATGTATCAAATTTGCAAATATCTACCTTCATATCAAAGTAGATATCTACACATTTAATTTTATAAATAAGGCTATCGGTATCAGTGTAAAGTTATTTACAATTATCACTATACTTGATTCGCATATAATTATAATGGAAATCATACATTAATGTCTTTGATATATCTAAGACGCTAAGTCCAATATAGATTGGCTTATTCATAAACACTTCCGTTTTTGTTAATTCAACAGCAATCAAGTTTTCATTAAAGATAGCTCTTGAATGAAAATTAGGTTTCGATATAAGAGCCTCTGCACCGTACCTACCCTCCCACTTTGTCACAAGCTTGACATCTACATGCTTTCGTACATTCTCCATAGTCTTACCATAAACTGCATTATTCATAAGTATGAATAAATTTTTTTCAAACTCATTTTTAGCATTTGTTCGCATCATAGTATTAAAATCAATATAACTTTTCAACCAAGTAGACTGCTTGAATTTTAAAATTAGATGTATATGATTAAGTTTATTACCATGTGCTAATGCTTGTTTAAGTGCACGATAATGGATTATATACTTTTGTTTCGGTAAGAGGGTAGTTAACAGCTTCGATTGTTTTGATCCAGGTGGCTTTGAATGTTCGGGACAAAATGGTAAGTCACTATGACTGTTATGCAATTCTTGAGGGTAATCTAAATCTACTTCTAATATAGAACCAAAAGGTGAATCATCGGGGATATTAAAGTTAAATTAATTATCTACATTTTTTACCCACTCAAAACCACCGTAGGGAAGTGCTTGTACCATAGCCCAACCATAAAGGTTATTAGCATCCAAGTATACAATGTAAGATGATTCTTCTTTTTCATTATAATTTTTCATATAATGAGTATTAGCATGAGCATATCTATTTGAACATTGGCTAACACCACCTCTAATACCACGTTTAATAAACATGATCATGTCAATATCTGTAAGAAGTTCCAGCTGAACATTTGTATACTTTAACATAGCATCCCAGCTCAATCCAGGAGTTGTATAATAGTGAGCTGGATCTAAACCATGTGCATCAAGACATTAGTCTCTAAAATTTTCAAAAACATCTGCGAGTAGTAAAATGTCTGTTTTCATGTACAAATATACATAATCACAGATATTTTTACAATTAAATGTAGACCAAACCTCTTGTGCATGTAAATAATCTTCATTACTTATATTTGAATCATTTAAGGTACTGTAAAATTTCTCTATTGGCGGTAGTTGTACCTCATCAAGTTTTGATCTGCAATCCAAGTACTCATATGGAAAAACTCCTTTACAGGTTAGTAACTGAATTTGATCAATATCATAGACTTGAAATTCTGAATTTACAATAGTATAACTTGTAAGATATGACGCTAATTTATCCAAAGATGATGTCATAAATCTGAATGAATCAATGAATTTAAATTTTATATCACTTGCTTCAACGTGTTTGGTAAAACTTATATATTTTTCTTTATTAATTGGAAGGAGACTAAGTTTACCCTCAAACTCAGTTACGATAGCTTTTATAATGAAATGAGCATCATAACCACTCAAGTTATGAAAAACTACAGGAATAGTTTTTGAATCCTGATATTGTAGATTACAATCTTGGTGAGCGACTCCTCTATACTTACCCGTTATATGGCAATGATCTCTAACCTTAGCAGCACCATGCGCAATAATCTTTTTACAGATGTGGCAAACCATTTCGCTACATCTTCTTCATCAATAGGGGATGCTTTGTATACTGACAAAGTGTCATCATAACACTTTAAATAGTAGGCAATGCTTAGAAGTTTATGGTTTTGAAAAACCTCTGTATTATCCCCCATGGATGAAGAATCTGTCACGGGAAGAGCAATAAGCTCTTGCAGTCTGCATATATGATAAACGGAGCACGCTCCTTATTGGAAAAATTCTTAAATTGAACAATATTTTGTCTAAACTTTGGTAAAATAATTTTTGTATTATTTACTTTAACACAATCTTCTGTGTGGGCAATAAGCTTATCTCTATTATGAAAATAATGCAAACAACGATCGCAAATATACTTCATGCACTTATGTTTCGATAATTGACTGCTTACAAGTCATGTTAAATTTTTAATCTATACCTAGTGATAATTATGTGATTGGATGTCTATATCAACATCTTCATTCATTTTGAAACTTTCATCAATGTAGTGGTCTTCAATGCGTAAAAGATTTACATAAGTATCTCTCTTATATGATGTGAGGTGGATAAAATGCTGATAAAATTGACCACTTAAAGCATTCATTATCATTAAAATTTTGAACATTAATGTAAGCATTCTTTTCTTTGATTTTAGGTGGCACACAGTGGGAAAAAAATGACCCTCTGTGGACAAAAATCTACCGACAACACAAATCTTAACCGATTTTAATATTTATTTTTTCTAAATACTCGGAGACGTTTTTCCTGTAACGCACAACTGCGATAAATTTGATTTATTTCAAACTAACCTTAAAAATGATACCTATATATGAAATTACGTTATTAGGATGGTTTAAAAAATGGAAAAATGATTAATTTTGATACATCAGAGAGTATTGTGAACCCATTTTGATCACTGAATGCGAATTTGACATTAAAATTGCAAAATTTTAAAATTCAAAATGGCGGGTGCAATATGGCAGGCAATGTTTTATAAAAGTCACCAAATTCACTCGAAAGTTGTTATTCAGGGGTTTTTAAGGTCGCTGGTTACGAATCTGAAGTCAAATTTCAAAAATTCAAAATGGCGGATCCAATATGGCGGATAAGAAAATAAAAAACTAATTGGATTTGCTTGAAAGTTGTTACACGGGGGTTTTTTGGGTCGCTGATTACGAATCCGATGTCACATTTCCAAAATTCAAAATGGTGGATCCAATATGGCGACCAAAAAAAATTTGAAATTCACTAGATTTGCTTAAAACTTGTTACTCGGGGGTTTTCGGGGTCGCTGATGACGAATCTGATGTTAAATTGTCAAAATTCAAAATAGCGGATATAAAATAAAAAATAGGAAAAGAACTAAGCGCAATTGCGCCTACATCTAGGGTTTCGTGGCGCTTTAAATTTTAATTAAAAAAAATCAAAAATAAATAATTTAAAAATAAATAATAAAATTTATTTTATAAATTTACCTAAAACATTAGGTAAAATGTCCATTCGATAATGTCCACTATTAAGACATGTCAACTCTTGGACATGTCAACTATAGAGACATGTCAACTATAGGGACATATCAACTACTGGGACCTGTCAACTATAGGGACATGTCAACTATATGGACATGTCAACTATTGGGACATGTCAACTATTGGGACATGTCAATTACTGAGATAGGTCAACTACTGGGACATGTCAATTGTAGGGGCATGTTAACTAATGGGACATGTAATGTCCATTCATGTAATGTCCATTCGGGAAAATGTCCATTCAGTAAATGGAGATTTGGAATCTGTGGGGTCCCAAAATTTGAATTTGGGAGCTATGGTGCCCCAAATTTTGAATTTTGTCAACTATAGAGACATGTCAACTATAGGGACATGTCAACTACTGGGACATGTCAACTATAGGGACATGTCAACTATTGGGACATGTCAATTACTGAGACAGGTCAACAACTGGGACATGTCAATTGTAGGGGCATGTTAACTAATGGGACATGTAATGTCCATTCAGTAAATGGAGATTTGGGATCTGTGGGGCTCCAAAATTTGAATTTGGGATCTGTGGTGCCCCAAAATTCTAATTTGGAAGCTATGTTTGCCCAAAATTTGAATTTGGGATCTGTGGTGTCCTAAAAGTTTAATTTGGGATCTGTGGGGCCACAAAATTTGAATTTGGGATCTGTGGGGCCCCAAAATTTTAATTTGCGATCTGTGCCCTAAAATTTTATTTTGGGAGCTGTGGTGCCCCAAAATATACTACGGACAGTCGGACGCCAAAGTGAAACTATAAGGCTTTCGGCCATGGGCAACGAAACCCTAAAAATTAATAACTTTTTAAAAATTTGATCGCCATATTGGATCCGCCATTTTGAATTTTTTAAATTTGACTTCAGATTCGTAATCAGCGACCCTAAAAACCTCCAAGTAACAACTTTCATGCAAATTCAATGAGTTTTTAATTTTTTAATCCGCCATATTGGATCCGCAATTTTGAATTTTTGAAATCAGACTTCAGATTCGTCCCAATAGTTGACATGTCCATATAGTTGACATGTCCCTATAGTTGACATGTCCCAGTAGTTGATATGTCCCTATAGTTGACATGTCTCTATAGTTGACATGTCCAAGAGTTGACATGTCTTAATAGTGGACATTATCGAATGGACATTTTACCTAATGTTTTAGGTAAATTTATAAAATAAATTTTATTATTTATTTTTAAATTATTTATTTTTGATTTTTTTAATTAAAATTTAAAGCGCCACGAAACCCTAGATGTAGGCGCAATTGCGCTTAGTTCTTTTCCTATTTTTTATTTTATATCCGCTATTTTGAATTTTGACAATTTAACATCAGATTCGTCATCAGCGACCCCGAAAACCCCCGAGTAACAAGTTTTAAGCAAATCTAGTGAATTTTAAATTTTTTTTGGTCGCCATATTGGATCCACCATTTTGAATTTTGGAAATGTGACATCGGATTCGTAATCAGCGACCCAAAAAACCCCCGTGTAACAACTTTCAAGCAAATCCAATTAGTTTTTTATTTTCTTATCCGCCATATTGGATCCGCCATTTTGAATTTTTGAAATTTGACTTCAGATTCGTAACCAGCGACCTTAAAAACCCCTGAATAACAACTTTCGAGTGAATTTGGTGACTTTTATAAAACATTGCCTGCCATATTGCACCCGCCATTTTGAATTTTAAAATTTTGCAATTTTAATGTCAAATTCGCATTCAGTGATCAAGAAGGGTTCACAATACTCTCTGCTATATCAAAATTAATCATTTTTTTATTTTTTAAACCATCCTAATAACGTAATTTTATATATAGGTATCATTTTTAAGGTTAGTTTGAAATAAATCAAATTTATCGCAGTTGTGCGTTACAGGAAAAACCTCTCCGAGTATTTTAAAAAAAAATATTAAAATCGATTAAGATTTGTGTTGTCGGTAGATTTTTGTCCACAGAGGGTCATTTTTTTCCCACTGTGTGGCAGTTCAATGAAAGAACTAGCATGCATGGGATTATATTTATTAAACTTTACATCTAACCTTTGAATAGAATCAAGTTGCCAATTTGATTCTTTGTCCTGAAATTCTTCACAAAGCCGTAATGTTACTTGTTTAACATTATCATTATAAAAATTATCTAACTGAGTTGTCGGAAAAATATCATTCGTCCTAGCAATAAATGATTTTATATCAAATTCCGCTATACCATAAAAATACTGAATGTATCATCTAAGAATTCATTAATATCTTTATGAAGTATATTTATTATACTTCCAGATTGCAATATACAATTGAAAGCTCTATCAGTTACAACCCATCTAATTTTTTCATTAGAGTGATCAATTCCTGCACCGCGTTTCATTAGCGAATCAAAGTGACATTGATAATAATTAATTTTTCTTAAGGGGGGAACACCAGTTGTAACTCAAAAAATAATGCTTTATACAAGAATATTTTCCAAAAGAACAATGAATCTTTTTAAAGAATACTATTTATTAGTTAAAAGTACATGTAAAAAGCTGTAATTTAAAAGAAAAAAAAAATTTTTTTAACAAAAACTTTTGGAGATATGAGCCATTGAAGTGGCGCCTTAAGAAAAAAGGCGAATTGCGGTGACCAGCATTCTGCAAGTATACTTCGTCTGAAATACAAAAATGAAATTGATTTACATTTATTATAAGATTATCTAGTTCGTGATCGAAGGATTTAAAAAAAAAAAAAAATTTGACAAATTGGCGACCTGTCAAAGTCAAAAGTATGATTTTCGTTAAAAAAATACGGTCGATTTTCAGCTATATAAAAAAAAGTTTTGCATAAAAAAAAAAATCCTTCGATCACGAACTAGACTTATATGTGTAAATGAAGCACACTAAATTTTAAATAAATCGGTTTAATGGTATTCGAGTAATCGTGGTCACCGACTTGGAAAATGTCATTTTGAGAAAAACGCATTCAAAGTTTCAACTTACTTTTTTTTGTTCAGGAGAAATTTTGTTTCCAAGTTACAAAGAGTCATCGATTCCTGGACCATATAATAACTCTTCCGCAGTGGTTGCCGTTTCTAAATCATAGGAAAAGGCCATGTGTCGTTAGGGTCAGGTATGGCTGGCCACCTTGTATAAAGCCACGGGACGCGCCGCTGCAGTGTTCTGTATATCTCATTTATTTTTCACCGGATCAACTTTGAAATTTACAGACACATTTCTAAATATGTATACTTTAAGAAAATGCACAAAAAAAAAATTCGATTTTTCGAAAGTTACAACTGGTGTTCCCCCCTTAATAAATTTAAAATTCTTTCATTTTGAGGACCTTTAATGCTAAACTTTTTAGAAAACTTTTTCAAAAAAGCGTAATGTTGTTTATACTTATTATACCACTCAAATGTGCTAATGATTCGCTCATCATTCGATTTGGACATTACAGATCTCAACTCTACATCGGCAACATCAAGACAAATTTTTGAGACTTCACCAATTTCATTGATGCTATCAGGAGGTGCTACTCTTTATTTAATAACTCTACGTTGGGACATTGTTCAATAAAAAAATAAACAAAAAATACTAAACACTGAAACAAAAAAAAGTAGACGCTGAAACAAAACAAAGAAATGTAGTCCAAAGTTAATGCTCAGCTCCGAGAAATCTCTGACGGAAGGATGAAAAAGCACTTAATGTAGAGTTGATGTTTAAATGTTGATGATGCTTATTGTAATTACCTGTAACAGAATAAGGGAAAATCTGTTATTAATATTACTACTATTACTATGATTATTACGTATATTTAAATAAAGGTAACCTTAAGAAACTTACATAAAACAGTCTGTTGGAAAAAAATGGTACTGTACTCCACAGTGAAAGAATTTTGCATAACGTATCTTGCAGGTTAAATTTGCTCTTCAGATACTTCTATCTGCAACAAAGTGAATTTTAAGGTGTAGGTCAGAGTTTTGACATTACCCTCTACCCTTTCTTAAAAATCTGTAACATGAGAAATGACTTTTAAACTATGTTGAACATTATACCCCCTCCCTTCCACTCTATTTTATACCTCACTTGTAGAAATTGATTTTGCTGACGTTAAAATCGGAACCCTGTTATAAGAATACTACTAGAGTCCTGATGACATTTGAACACAGCTATATATAAATCCTGTTAGAGTTCTAATGTTATTGGTATGGATTCTACTGCTGCTAGTATCGATGCTGATGTTGTCGGTCTTAGAAACTGAAACAGAATGAATCTACCAGGTTTGCGTTACCTATTATATCCCTGGAACCCCACTTTTTTTCCAACCTCCCACTTTATTTCAACCCCCCACTTTTGTTAACATGTAGCGCTCTCTATTTCAGTCAAAGCTATTTTTCTTCTGCGAGACCGACCGCGCGCTACAGCGCGCGGATTTTTTGTACTTTCTTTACGATTAATTAATTATTTCCTACATTAATATTAGTTAGGTTTATAGTTTAATCTGAAGTTGTTATTTATTATATTGTAGTTCCTTCATTTTTGATAATTTCAAAATATGTCGATATAATGAAAGTATTGTAAAAATAAAGAAAAGTACAATTGACAATTGCTTGAAAGAAAAATACTTAACTATGAAGTGAACAGTTAAGGATTTGAATTATATATAATAATTGAGTAATAAAAATAAACCCTCATATAAAAGTAAATATTCGCTTGGTTAGTGGAAAAAAAGAACACGTCGAATTTTCTTTGAAAAAGAGGACACGTTGCTTTTTAGTTGAAGAAAAGGACACATCGAAAATAATGTTAAAGTTAATGAAGTAAGTAACGATATGTTCATTGGGTAAATGAACAGGTAATCGGGTAACAGAATGACTTTTATTCTGTATTGGTCTTCCAAAAATTCTGTCACACGCTTCAACGGGACTTACATATCGAGTTTCAATGAAATTTCAAATTTCATCACATTCTATAGAAGTTGCACTATTGGCACTATCTGTTATTTCAATAGCAGCAGCATCATGCCCCTTATAAATATATTTATACAGATATTTTACTGATTTAATGCTAGAAACAACTTCTACATTAATATGGCAATTAAATAATTGTAATAATGTAGGGTTGTATGGGACAACGTACTGATTATCTGCTGTTCCTCTATTTGGACGATTAAAAGTTCCGTTATTGCGACGACGGTACGTCGTATATCCATTTTCATCCATTATTGTTTCTGAGCAGAATTTCTTTGGAAAACTTTTTGAACATTTACCATTTTCATCTTTACACCAGCTCCCACATGGACCATGAATCATGTTTCTCATAACAATATCATGAAGTACAGGATTTTCCGATGGATCTGGAATTTCTGCAGAAATATATTTGTCAACAATCTCTGATGTGGTTATTTTATTGTTTTGCTTTAAGTTTACTAATAAATGCATATGAGGCAATCCACGCTTTTGATACTCAACAACATACACATATGCAAGTATTTCACCAAATAATTTCTCCTTTACAATTACATTAATCACTTCATTTTTCTTTATGTTAAAAACTCTAAAAACAATATCTGGTCTGTCAGCTGCAGTTTGATGAGGTAGTAAATTTTCCTGTATCTCACGCCAATTTGGATTACATGTCATCGTAATAAATAGATCTGGTTTCCCAAATTTTCTCACAATAGCCATCGCATCCTGATAATTTTTTAACATATTTCTTGGTGAACCTGTGAATGATGATGGAAGAATTACAATTTTACCTACCTCACTGTTCGACTCATCTGCCCTTCTTTGTAAATGATCAATTAGCCCTTTGTAACTTTCGGCACGGAGAGTTGATTGATTATTTCGACAGAAATTTGTCCTATCTTTTTCAACTTTCACATAATTATCAACAATCCATTGCTGAAATAATCGTCCACCTTTTAAAATAACATTGTCATCTCTAGACGCTATTTTAAACTTGATGTATGCAGACCGTGAAACTCGTTTATTAGAGTTAACACAAGTCATATTTTCATCCCAACCTCTCGTACCATATGGATAAAATAATGGATATATCCATGGCTCAACATTAGGGTTCATAGAACTTACATATTGTAAATTTTTATTTCTCTTATTATACAAAGTGAGGTATGATTCTGGAATATCACCATCTGTAGTTGTAGTAAAAATTGCAGCAACTTCATTGACTTTTTGTATATTGTATCGTCTACTTTCCATCCCCGGTTTCAATGTAAATAATAATTGCATCTCAGGCTCAATGGTTAGGTTATTTTCAGTCATTGATTTTTCCATTTCTTCATGCATCATACGGTAAGATTGTGCGAAGATATTACAATCCCGAAGAGCAGTGTCAATTGCATTAATAATATCTCGGTTTAATGTCTGAAATTGATTACATCGAATGTCTGTGGATTCGTTTTGATCCACGATAAATAATTGTCCAAATGAAGGATTGCTGTTATCTTCAGCATATATAGATGTATTCATTTGATAATAAACCTGACCATGTATTTTAAAACAATAAGGTCCAGGACGTGTATTATTAAAATCAACTAAATTTGCATTAAAGGATGCAAATGCAAATGAATTATTATAACATCGAACACGTTCATGAAAATGATTTGATAGTTCATGCGTTCCGTCAAATAAACTCTGCAATATTAATGGTGGCTTAGGTAAATCTTCCAGAATAACTTCACCATGCTTACAACAATCATTAAAAGAATTTTTTTTATTGGGCACTTGCTCTGCTTTAAAATGCTTAGCATTACAATGCTTACATAAAATGTTCATTTCACCAGAATAATGTTCCTCTATAACTGTATCTGTACAATTATTACACAGGTTTTCAATCTGAGAAAAATTCCGATTCCTTTTTCGATAATTGCTGTTGATAATCAGCTTTTTTAAAATGATATGACTGTCTTTCTTGAACAGTGTAATCAACATTTTTATTTCTTATTTCATTTGATGCAATGGACACATAATTCTCAGTGCTTGATGAAGTTGAAGGCAAGCTTTGAGAAAGAATATTTACAAATTGATCTGTACATGGATCGCTGTTTGAATCCAATTCTTTATGTTTAACATCACTCTTTTCATAAAAGCTGTCGACTTTTATTTTTTTTAATGTACTTGATGCAACAGATACAACATTATCAATGCTTAATGATGTTGAAGGCATACTATCGACTTCTATACGAAAATTATTATTAGAATTATTTGAAATATTTTTAACATTATCATTTACTTTTTGACGGTATCTTCTTTGAGAATCTGCTTTTCTTTGAAGTTTTAAAACTTGGTACTGTTCTTCTTCTGAAGAAGAACGTAGTGCTCGTCTTTTTGACCCTGTTAGAATGGAAATATTTGGTGCAATAGATACAACGTTATCAATATTTAATGATGTTGAAGGCATATTGTTCTTCTTCCGAAGGAGAACGTACTGCACGTCTTTTTGGCATGATTAGATTGGAAAATTTAATTTACATTCCATAAAATTTATAACCTATTACAAATTTATAGAAAATGTAAACACTTTGTTTTCAAGCTTATAAAACAAAGAATCTCATGCGTTTTAACTGAAAAGTTTGATATATTTGCAAGATATTTTGTAGCTAATGTAAAGATATATTGTATAAATAATGTAGATATCTATCAATACGATTTAATATATATATTTTTAAATTTTATGATATCTGTGTATTTGAATTCTATGTATTAAATTCTTAAATCTGTCATATCTGTTTTTATCTTTTTATCTTATGTGAAACTGCTCCATATAATGTATCAATAATGTAAAGATATCTATCAATACGATTAAATGATATTATATACTTTAATTTTATGATATCTGTGTATTTGAATTCTGTGTATTAAATTCTTAAATCTGTCATATCTGATTTTATCTTTTTATCTTATGTGAAACTGCTCTATTTATTTTTTAAAAATATTTTAACACAACACAACAATTATAAACACTTCAAAAAAAAATTTCAATACTAAAATACATTCTTCACTTTTTTAATAATCAAACAATTCAATTATATTGCAATTTCACATTTTTAATTTCTCACTTTCATTTATTTATCTTAATTAAAATTCTTAAATTTGTTATATCTGTTTACATCACTTTTATTTCATGTGAAACAATTCTATTTTTAGAAAATATTTTAACACAACACAACAATTACAAACACTTCAAAAAATTTTTTCAATAACAAAGCACATTCTTCTCTAGCAATTTCACATTTTTAATTAATCACTTTTAAAAACAATAAAATTTTAACCTTTTTTACTATTCCTTTTCACAGGAACAGAAATGTAGAAATATTATGTTCTGTCGATTTTTTACACAATTTAAACAAAACACTATTGGTAAATGCACTTTTTCACTATTTATTGCTTTTTTACACACAAAAATAATAATCACATTTATCACTATTTCACTAATTTTTTCAAAGAAACAAATTATTATAAGTACTATATATCAATTTTCACTATTTGTTTCTTTATTGACACAGAACTGTATAAATATTACTTTTTCGCGTTTTCCAAATATGAATTATCAAAATGGCGTAAAATCACGAACAGTAAATGTTGATAGCGACGCGTCGACGTTCATTCTGTCTTTGTCTCTCGAATTGTTTGTCCTTGTTTCCCCCTAAAGACCGACGCGTCGCTATCAACGCGTCGAATCGTATTCTGAACTCTCCTTTAAGAACATTTAAAATCAACCAATAAGGAAAGGTATCTACACTTGAAGTTAGCTGCAGTTTACCTGTCGCCACTTTAAAAACCAATCAGATTTCACGAATTTGAATTTAAGCAAATCAGACGTCACGACTATGATTTAAACCAATGAGGAAAGGTATCTGCGCATGAAGTTAGCCGATTACACTTCTCGTTTTTAAGAAAGGATTGCTGTAGAAACCTGTAACAGAAAAAAATATTTGAGTCCTGGTCCTGTTTGGTAATCCTAGATGCTGAAACGGGTTAACAATTCAAAATTCCCGCGAGCAACAGCGCCATCTCACAACAACGGTCGGTAACACTATGGTAAAGTAGTGTTACCATTGGTTTGGTAATAATCAAGTGGGAAGAAAGTGGTAAAGTAAGTAGATATCTTCCAGTAGCGCCCTCTATTGATGATGGTTATAGATAATATATTCTAAAAGTTTAAAAACAAATAATTATAAAATTTTAATTAAAAAAATAAACAAATTTTTTTTAATTATTTCAATTCTACTGCTGCGAGTGCCAGAGGTCTGATGCTGCTTATTCTGGAAGCTGAAACAGAATGACTTACCTTGCCATAGGAATCGCCTGAGGTGCATGTAGCCCCCACCATTCACAACATCCTACCACTGAACTCCATCCCCACTTGACGCATGGACTACCAATGGGCCCGGTGACCGTACGCGCTCATCTGCCGCGCACCTTTCACTTTTGAGTCATCCACTGTGCACCACCCACTCCAAACCACCCACAGTCCCGCGCGGTATCTCGCGAACCCTTTGTTCCTCGAGATTCAAATTATGATTTTTGAATTTTTGGGACCGTATATGTTTATACATAGGGAAGACATATGCAAATTAGGCTGTGGTGGGAGGCCAAGAGGGTGGAAAGTAAGTGGTAATATTTAAAAAAGATATATGCAAATTAGGGGGTGGTGGGAGGTGGCCAAAAGGGTGAAAGTTTAAAAAATACATATGCAAATTAGGGGGTGGTGGGAGGCCAAGAAGGTTAAAAAAATCAAAAATTCCCGCGGGCAACAGCGCCATCTAGCGACAACGTCGGAAACTGCAACACATGATAAAGAAGATGCTCGGACAGTAAAACAGATTTCTACTGCCTGCAGATTTCCGGTCGGTAAGTGGTCTGGAATCCACATAGCTCTACTACTAAAAAGGATAAGTCAAAAAGCAAACATAACCTTAAAATTATACACGGAGAAAATTTATTCCGAGAGTTTTACTCACCTTAGTTCGGTAAAATTGGGATATAACAGCAAAACGGTAATTTTTCAAGAATTAGTACAGTAAAATGAATTTCATAAAACTGTAATGCAAAAGGCATAAAATATTATAACACATATATTAGTGTCTCAAGTTCAGTTCGGGAAACCGTAAGATACTGGCAGTACATAAACTAGAACAATAGCTAAGAATATTAAGATCTGTTTTTGATTAATCAGAATTGAAATTTCATAAATTATTTAAATTATTAATGAAGAGTTCAGTAAAACTACAGGCAGAAATATAAAAAATAAATATTACCATTACTGGAAATCTCAATTCACCTACATTAATGATTCTCTGATCGTTCACAATTTTATACTCACATATAGGAATTGAAACAGTACATCATGTTAACCTTACACCTAATACACGCAACACACTTTTATTTAACGTAATACATACTAAACGCATACATATAAAATAACGCAATACATTTAATCGCTCGCTTTACATTGCTTCAGAAGGTTTGACCTGTCCTTATATATTAACCAGGATTTTAGTTTACCGCTTGTGAGAAACGTTCAAACAATTTATTGAAAAAAAATAAAATAATTTAGATTCAATTATTTCTGAATATGACAACTAATTTTAAGGCTACAGATGACAAAATTAGGAAGCAAACTAATTTTTTTTAAGTAATTAATTCACTTTTTATGAAAATTTTATTTAAAATTTATTGTGATTTAAATAGAAACAAATTAATGAAAAAAAATTATTTTTTTAAATAAATTATTTTCCCTAAAATTTAATTCAAAAATATAATTCAGTTTGAAAATATATTTGAGCTAAATTCAATTTTTTGTTTATTTCACCTCTAATAATAGTTAATGAATTAAAATAATGTTTCATTATGTTTTCTGAAAAATTGAAAATAGATTTTGTAATAATAATATATATTAAAGGTATAAGTTCATAAAAAATTACTTCAATCCTGAAAACAAATACGATTAGAATTGTACGTATACGTTTTACCGAACTGGACTTGAATTATGTGGTGCCCAGAATGGAAATACTCAGGAGAGCTGGCTATAGTTTCATTCGTCAAACTAAAATTCCATACAATTACATGTAGCTTTAAATTTGATTTGTTTGTTTACATGTTTTACACGTTTTAAATAAACGATTCATCAAAAAGTGATAAATAGCACAGGTTTATTTGGTTACTTTTAAATCTTAATAAACGATTGTTTCAAAAACTAACTTTTTGACAAATTCATTGAATAAATATTGATTTATAATTTCTTGTAGACTAATAGTCAACATAATCTACGTATACGTCATCGTAATATAAACCAATGTTTAATGATTCAAATTTTTCATATATTTACAGTACTAGCTTGTAATAAATTAAAATATCATATCAAGTTTTAACTATCATCACTACAAAAAATAAAAAAATATTTTGAAAAATTCCTTTTGTGCAACTATATTCGAACTTTTAGTTAAAATTCAGTGAAATGTCCGGAA